CTTCGTTTTTACCTATGTATTTTGCGATTTCTATTTCAATAGCCAGGTGTTCTAGTACACGCCCTAATAAAAGTTGGCTTGTGTTTCAAAAGCCGTTCCAAGTATTTTGGGATGATGTCTAAGGAAAGCCCTAAGGAAAAGAGGCAATAACATGCACTCGAAGCTCTAGATGACTATATGTGCCTATCATTTGGTCTTTTAAAGGGGGGGGACGGGACGACATTTTATCTAGAACGACAGAAAACAGTTGTGCACGCTTCCTCTTCATACCCATTTGAGGAGCGAGAGCTTAGTAGCAAGAATTAGTGAATTCCTTAAAGAATAAGCACGGGGGAGCATGCGTGTCTCAGCAGCAGAGAGCCCGTGTCAAAGGTGTAAAGTGTGAGCGACAGATTGCTAGATAACAGGAGCAATGGTTGAACTGTCTTGAATTCTACTGCATGGGGCGTATTTTTGTGCTGTTCTCAGCCGCTGTAGAGGAGAAGATCACAGCAGCTAGAGGATTTGCAGTCCATGTTCCTGAGAAAATACTTTCTGCCGTGTTTTCTTCTGCTGTGTTGAACACAGTGTAGTTGGCCTCTATGTTTGTGTTCAGTTCACATGCGAAATCTGCCAAGCGTCTCCTTTTCAGTCGCGATGTAATCACTGCTGCACGGCTTCCCACTCCAGTATTTGTGAGATCCAAAAAATACACAGGACAAAAAGAAGAAACAAAGGTCACCGTCCACAGGCAAATTACGGGAGTAGCATTCAGTGTATTGTGTCCTGCAGCTACCTTTTCACGCTGACCATTATTTTGAGACAATACGATGGAAATGGGAAGAGTTGCCAACAGTTTCTGAACACAGATGATAACAGCTGTTTTGAAAATCTGTTCCAGGACAATTCAGCTGGATTAGTTCATTTACCAGTTGCTGAGTCCTGTAGACAGAAGCAGGACAGAGTTTTAAAATCTTACTGTAATGCTCATGAATCTTGTTAGATCAGTAACAATGGCTGGATCTACGGTATTTATAAAAATCATGCTTTTGGGCCGTTAAAAGAAACCCCTACTTAGTCTTTGTATACTTAAGCCTTGTTTGGTAGCCTTCAGGACACTGATCTGCTATAGGCGAAGTCATCTCACAGCCTGATGAGACGTGGCAGCCACGCAGACACATCGATAGGAATGGCTTCGTTTACAGCATCGTGGTGCCGTTTATGTAACATTTCTCATTGTGAATCTTGATGAGCCTGTGGCAGGCAAGGGACCAGCACAGAATCATAGAATCATTGAGGTTGGAAAAGACCTCTAAGATCATCGAGTCCAACCGTCAACCCAACACCACCATGCCCACTAAACAATGTCCCTAAGTGCCGCATCTACACGTCTTTTAAATACCTCCAGGGATGGGGACTCCACCACTTCCCTGGGCAGCCTCTTCCAATGTTTCACCACTCTTTCAGTAAAGACATTTTTTTAACTGCTTCATCACAGGTGGTGGTGGGCCTTTTGTGTTTTTTCTTTTTATTTTTGCATCTTGTCAGTAAATAACCGAGAGCGTGAGCAATATCTGACTTATGTGTTATAGAGCAGGAAATCTGTCTGCTTGTCTAGAGGTGTAGCAGGAACTTCCCCCGCTCCCTTCAGATCGACTGGAGAGCCAAGCAGCGAGGTAGGTAGTGAGAAGCTGGCAAGGAAAAGCTTTATTATGCATATATATTTATTTTAAAGAAAGAAGTGCATTTAACTGATGGAAATATAAATCTTTTCCACGTTAAACAATGTAGTGTTTCAGTGTAGCAGGAAAACAGAATAAAATACAGAGAGTAATTTTTCACTTTGGGAGGAGAAGTGGAAAATGACTGTCTTCTCTAGAACTTGAAAAGGCTCGGACTTGCAGTCAGCATTGCTGTGTTATTAATGTCAAGCTGAAAACCCTGGAAGCTATTTAAGCAGTGCCGTATGCCCTTCTGAACTGTCAACTGAAAAACAATTGCGGGGGGGAACCCCTAAAACTATTAAGCTCTTTTCAGAGCCGTATCTGGACTCAATAAATGCAAGCACCCATTGTATAATTTAAGGTGTCTGATTAAATTTGGTCTCAGAAACGTAACATGACAAGGCCTGCCGTGTTGTGCTTTGGTGCAAAAAAGGTTTTCTTAGCACATTTATTTTCCTTGTGTAAGTCACATTGGGACCCTGTAAAAAAATCAGCAAAGCATGCAGCTGGAAATAAGAGATTTGTTCTCAGCAATCCTGGCGTGAGTTGTTTAAAGCTGGTGGAGCTACCATGCACGGCGGTCATGTGTACTTGTTCTGCTTATTTTTGAACGTGAATACGCAGGCAAGGCCATCTGGCCTTTTCCCCTGCGGCTGGTAAGGAATAAGGCCCTGGGTCAGTACCTGCTACCTACGGCCGTAGGTAGCCATACATCTCCATGAGATGAGGAAAATAAGTTTAAAGAAGTTCCCAACTTGTGATCCAGAAAATAGGCAGACAAGTAGGCCGTGACCCGCTCCTGGAAAGCGTAGGGGATTTGGCTATTTCTGACCACGTCTGTGAAAAACAGCTGAAAAAGCAGCCAATTTACGGTAGTTCTGAATTGTCCACATGGAGATTTGCATCTCCAGGGGAGAGCTTTAGGGATCTGAAAACCAAGAAGGCTGAAAGCTCAGCTAGCGTTAGACTGAAGAATAAGCTTTTGGTTGCGTTTCGTGCGGTAAAATTACGTCAACGTTGATCAGTAAAGTTAAGACGCACTTACAGGTTGCAGCTACAATCATGCCATGATTGTTCCGGGGAGAAAGAAGGGACTGTGGTGTGAAAGCTCATACCGGGGCATATGTATAGACTTCCATTTTGTTCAACTAAAATTTAGCTTGTCTTGTATTTGAGCTTGTGCATGGCAGGAGACCATTGTGAAGTCTTTAGGTTTTTTCCTCATAGCCTAGTATAAATGAGGTTTTCTTAAAAATACGCACATTAATGAAACGAACACTTTAGAGCTCACACTTGTTTCCCCTCAATCAGATCTGACTTCCACTAGATTAGTTGAGGCACGTCTGCAACCTCCTAGGCCTTCCCGAGTTTCCATTTTCTGTCAGCAAACCTGTGATGTACAGGATGCTTCTGAAAACTTGTTTTTCCTACACTTTAAACAGAGAAACAGCATTTTTATTTACTTAAATAATTAAAAGTGGCTCAGACTTCTAGGGGGAAAATTGGCCTGTAGTACAGAAAAGCTATTGCAAAAAAAAAATCAAAGTTTAAGGAACTAGTGCAAAATAATGGAAAACAGAAAACTTTAGGTAGCATTTCTTTAAATTCCTTATTTCCAGTAGATACGTCCATCTCAGCCTTGGACAGGTGATTTTCCTCGGGTTACAAACAGTATCAGAGAAAATGTAGCAGGCAAACCAAAAAGAGCGTTTGTTTTATTTTCACTGTGAGCTGAAAAATAGGGAGTTGCTATAGCTGTTGGTCGTTAGTTAGTTGTATTGTCTGCCGCAATTTTTTTCCTCTAACGATGTCTTTGACAGTCTCCAAAAGATAGCTGGACCGCCTTTACTTTTAAGTATTTATTGACAGTGAACGTGGCTTGGGCTGCTGTTTTGTAGCGGTCAACTTGATGATGATAACTTAGTGCTGAAGTTGAGTAATGTTAGCACGGTAATAACGCGCTCGCTCCGGTGGGCAGTGCAGAATCCTGCAAGCGGCCGTCCAGGTTTTGCCGTTCCGGGGGTGCGCGCTGTGCTTCCTTAGTGAGACTCTGCCCAAGTGGGGACTGTCACTGGCTGCTGCTTGTGTCCTGGGTGATTAAAATAAGAAGCAAGGCTTCAGGGGAAGTTTTGGGGAGCAGTCATTACCTCTGTACCTTAATTTGAACGACAGTGCTCCTCTCATAGGCAAAATGTTATACCAGTGTATGACACTTGTGAAAACTGTGTCAGGCAGCAAGTGTGGCAGTGGGCTGAGCTTGCCTGCCGCGGGCTGCAGAGTGCTTTTTGGCTGAAGAACAGTTGAGGCGATGCTGAAGTTCTCTCTTTGGCCATGAAAAAACACTCTCTCTCTATCCTAAACCTTAATTCAAATTTCCCCTGAGCATTTTTCCCGTCGGAGGAGAGTGGTTCCTCGCGGAGCCTACCCTGCTCCCATCCCCACCGCGTTTGGGGTTGAAGACTGACTGCGGCTGAGTTCTCCGGGTGGAGGGAGGGCAGCGAGGGAACTGGTGCTTCAGGCTCTGTGATGACTGGGGCTGCAGGAATGAAAGAAAAGGGAAATCCGCCTCGTGTCTTTATTAAATCGCAAGAAATAATTTGGAAAGGAGATGGGACTATAACTACTGTGTCGTCACTTTGAAACAGAAGATGTTGTTTAAGGAACATGAGGAAATACAAACATAGCACTAAAGAACAGAATTTTAAAAGCAGCACTTTTCTAATATTGACCCAGGTAATGCAGAAACTTACCCTAGAAGGATCAGTGCATTAAAATGGGAAAAAAAACCCCAACTTTGTGAATTTAATCAATTTCTCTTGGCAGGTTAATGTTTATATGTAAGAATCCAAAATATGATGTTCTGTTCCACAAGTCTGCTGCAGCATTCCTCATTGTCTTCAAAAGTAATTGATGTTTTTGCTGTAGGAAGGGAGATGTCTATGTTTACCTGATAGGATCAATAGAACTATTCTAGCGGGCTTTAACTTCTGGTGTCAAAATACGCTGTAATGAAGGCTATTGCAGAAATCTGTGGTTCTGCAGTATGAAGTGCGTGTATTCAAGGCTGCCATAGCAAGCATTTTTCAGTGCTTTTGATTAGAAGCACTGGCTTGAAAAGAATGTTTATTCAATGATACCTGCTACTTGGTTACTACACTTAGAAATACTTTTCCCGAATGTTTTTCAAAGTCTGTCTTAGAACTTGAAACATAGGGTGCTGGCAATAGGATTGCGCTGTAAGTCAGCAGACTCCTTGAAAATTCTCTAAATTACTATGATCTCTCTTACAGAAGGAAGAACAGCAGCAGCAATCCAGAAACTGAATGTATGTCAAATTAGGTATATGTGTCTGGGCTCGTCTGGGTCCGTAACTCGCCACTAGTGCTGAACGTTTGCAAATTCTTGGAAACTCGGAGGAAGGGATCTGTAGTCTCAGTTCACTGTTTGCTCCCATTTGACTGCTCAGTGGAATCCATGAGGTTGGAAATTCCTGCCGGCTTCTGTAATGAGGCTGATGAGTCTGTACTTTGGGTCATACGTGTTCGGACCTTTGGTTTGATAACATTTTTAAGTGTGTAAGAAGGGAAGCGTTTACCTCTGCTGCCCAGCTACCGTTCCATTCTGAAAGCTGTACCTATGTGACCTTGAAACATACCATTGCTAGGTTGAAGTATTGTGGAGAAATTACACTCCAAGGAACCTTCCTTAGCTTGTCAGGGATTTGTCAAGGCAGAGCTTGTTGCTGCTGCTATTCTAGGTTAAATTTAAGTGTGTGTCCCCCAAGCCCCCTGCTGTTCTTCTTTCCGTTACCCACCTCCCCCATAGCTCCCTCCGCTCTTTTTTCTTTGGAGTGATGCTCGGAGAAGTTAGCAGCACTGTGGGAAGAAGACCTCGAAGCTTGGAGCCTGCTCTGCGGTAGAAAGGTCAGCAGTTGCACATGGAGCTTTCTGTAGAGAATACGTCCGTGCTTCGGGGGCCCCCCTGCTCCACTTGCTCCTGAACGGGCAGAAGACGCAGCCGAAGTGGAGAAAATGGACGGGCGAATGCCAGGGGAAGCGGGGATGTGGTGGAAGAAGTAGGTTCAGATGTGGATGGTTAAGGGATAGGGACTGCAGAGGTGCTGAGGACTGTCTCTTCTTCGTGAGTTCAGTGTGGACGGATTTTATATAGATATAAAGTTTGTCATCAGGTTCTGTAGGGCAAGTGGTTTGATTTAAAATAAAAATTACTGGAGGTTTTTTGCTGAATTAAACTGCACATGCTTAATAAATTAAAACAGTGAAAATTTAAGACGAACTTACGTAAAAGTTTAGTAGCTCCATTTATATTTTATATAAATATAAAATCTGAAGCTTAGAAGCTTATGTTCACAGGCTTAGAAGCCTTTTTAAAGATTTTTATGGTTTTTTTCTTAATAGTACTTGATAGTTTGACCAGTGTGAGGCTAATAAACCTTTTTTTTTGTTTGTGTGATTACTCAGTATTCAAATACAGCACATTAGTGATTGTGGCATTGTGCATTACGGATGAAGGCCCTCGCTGTTAATACAGATCTTACGTCTGAGACTTGCAAAGCCTTTATTTAAGCTGTACGAAAGAATAAAACGAGAAAGGTGGATTGTGTGTCACGCAGGCGTACTTGAACTTCATTGACGTCCAAATACGCATTTGTAATCCCAAGCAGGGCCCTAAGAGCGACCCTGGGGATGGATGTGTTCCTCAGGCGCGAGGATGAGGAACTGCCTCAGGGGTGGCAGGGACCAAGCCCGGGGTGGCGGGACGTGCCCAGGCTGCCTCGCCTCCAAACTGACGGCGCCTGCCCTCGGTGTCGCACCACGTCCCCTTCAGCACATGTGCACCTTGTCCGCTTTGTCCAGATTGTTCTTCTTGCTGCACACGTCTTCACCTTTCCCCCCCCATCTCATTTTCTTTGAAGCATTCCTTCCTCTTTCTGGTGGTTCTTCCCTACGCTTCTCCCTTTCTAGCTTCCGTTTTTTTCGGAGAGAGCAAGTAGAAAAGTCTACATTCATCGTCAGAATTTCAGAAGGCCGAGTGTTCTCCTCTGTGCTAGGCAGCCTTGTTAGTGCCCTGCTAGGAGCAGAAAGGGGAGGGGGGGGAAAGGTGGAAGAGGGATAAATAACTTTTTGTGCTCTCCGACATGCGCATTTGCTTTTCTTCACCCGTTAGCATAAGGTTACCTACAGTCGGGTGGTGGTTTGGTTTTTTTTTTTTTTGCATTTCTGCTGTGTGGCTTCATTTCCATGTGACTGTTTTAAACAGTACGTTTGCATGGGGCTGAAAGAACCTTCTGTTTTATAAAAGATGAAGACTTCAGGTCTCTGTTTAGTCAGAAAATTGAGACTAACATGGCTGCTTGTGCTGCTGCTTCTCAGACTGGCTGGAGCTACAAGGGAAAACAGAAATGGAAAATGGTTTTGTTGCCTATCTTTCTGGTTTTAGGTAAACGTTAGTGATTTTTTTCATGGATAAATCTTTTTCTTCTTGGTAGACAGTGGTGGTACCTTTTGTTTTTCAAGCTGAAACTAGTACTGTAGGAGGGAGAGCAACTGGTAATGGAGTGATTTAGCATTTAATTTGGTGTTTCTTCTACATGGACTGCACTTTGCTTTGCGTTTTGTTTTTCTGCTGTAGTGAATTCTGTCAAATTCGTGTCAGTTTTGTAGCCCTAATTCATATCAGACTGGCTCCCTGCTCGGGCTTCTGAGTACAATAGTTGATTTGATAAACTTGACATTCTTCCAGAGGGGTTTAGTTGCTCTGCAGTAATTGTTACAACCATTATACTGAAAGCACTTCTGAATGATTGTCTCTCTCGCTTAGAAACTACTTGTCTATTATTTGTCTTTTTTTGGTATATTTTGTGGCATTCAGGAACTGGGGGGGGTATGGAAGTCAGACGAATTAGCTTCTTGCTCTTTAAATAGGTCATATTTAATGTACACTGAGAATAAAACCATACATCATAATATTTCAGGTGCCGTTGGTTTTGTTCATAAAGACGTTTCCTAGTCAAACTGTTAACTTCATTTTAAAACTTTGTCTTCAGGTTCTGTAGGGTAAGCAGTTTGATTTAAAACAAAAATGACTGGAGGTTTTTTGTTTAATTAACCTTAGTATCAGAGTTTGGATTTTATTTCTTCTTGATTTTGTTTGCTTAAACAACATCATATCTCAGTTCGGAGCTGCAAAAATTCTTGGGAGTGATTCTACAGCGGTATTTAGCTGTTCTGCCGTGTGGCCGGTGCCCCTCTGTCTCTCACAGGACAGAGTTTGCTGTTTGACTGTTCTACCAGGTCTTACTTTCGTCTGATACCAGCCCGTGTGTTTAGTTTTACTTTGTGTTTCAAACAATTTTAACTCGGTGGGACACCGAGCAGAGTTGCCTTGAGGTCTCTTTCATTTTATTGTTTCTGTAAGCCTTCTACTTTTTTTCCTAGATAGAACTTTTTCAAAATTAATGTTTCAAAGTAGTTTCTATGTAGCTGCTTTAGTTTTAAAAATAATTTATGAATATTGGGAAATAAAATATATTTTCTTTCCCTTTTTGTTGTCAAACTACCTCTATAATAATATGTACGTATTCTTTATAGTTTCAGTGTTGGCAAAGTTTCCAGTTAGATCACCAAATATGTTTCAGATATGTTTTATTAACTGCCCTGGCTGTGGGAAATGTACATTAAAATCATCTGTTTAATTTCTGGTTTATGTTGTTGTATTCCTGTCATAGTAAAACATGAGCTTTGAAAGGCAGAGCAGTGTAAAGATCCTGTTCAGAAACTCCCGTACTCAAAGATTTAAGTATGACTATATACACGTTGGCAGACTTCGGTTTTGGGCCAGCGCATGTTACTGTGAACTAATAGAACAGGTCGTATAAAGAGTGCTAAGCTATAAAAAGTTGTGTGAAAACTACAGAATAGAATTCTGATCTTATAATGATTTACAGCTGAAAGAGCAGAATAGAGTTTGGTAAAAAGATGAATTTCAACTCTGTATGAGGGACTTTTTTTCTCTTTTTTCTTTTTTTTTTTTTTTCTTTTTTCTTTCCTCCTCTGAGCTGTGTCAGTCCAATCCTCCTTGTAGGTTTCCTGGTTACCTATGGACCAGAAACCCCATTTGGGAGACAAAGGTGGGATTGACGCTGCAGAGGAGGACTTTCAGGAAGGAAAAACTTGGATACAGAGAGACAGTCAGCTCTTCAAAGAGCTTTAAATAACTGCTTTATGTGGCATAAGGGGTACCAAAACGGAGGAACAAATTGAGCCTTCCGTGCAGTGGGGAGCTGGAGAGGATGAGGCGTGCAAAGAAGGACTTGGCAGCGAGGAAGCGGGATAAACGAGGACAGCAAGGGAGCATGAAGCCCAAGGACTTGAAATGAAAAGGGAGGGAGAAAGGAGAAAACATCATAAATACGTGAGGCACTAACAATGTCCAGGGAATGGCAGAAGATGAGAAAACAGTTGAGAGACAACTGAGGCTTCAGCTGTCAGTATGGAAGACACTTCTGTCGCAGAAGTGTGAAGAGGGGCCGCGTTGCTTGGGGACCTCGTCCCGAAGCACTGAGGCTGCAGGGTTGTTAGAGCTTGTGGGGGGCTTTCACGAGGGGAGAGGAGGACCAGCCTTGCTGGGTGGGCTCCTCAGGGTCACCGTGCTGATAAGGCTGAGCAAACAGAAGGCAGCTTTCCAACTGGAATTCGTTTCCCCTTCGCCTTGTTTTCCCTCTTTCCTGAAATACTTGCTATTTTTATGCGTGTACATTTGTTGGAAATTTCCAGTGGACTGCCTAGACTGGTGCCCAGATCATAAGATTTTTTTTTTTCATTTTTCTATTGAACATAGTTAAATAGAAGACCCAGATATTTGCATAGGTTGTTTGGCTGATTTTTTTTAAATTATTTTTTTTTCCCCAATATGTGTTATTTCAGGTGCACTAAAAGTAAATACCACTTGTTATGACAGTGCTTATTTAGGTGGCTGGAGTTTTTTGAGCTTGTCGATAATTTTCTTTGTCAAATCTGCAAACAATTTGAATGTCTTAAGTCGAACCATAGAATGGTTTGTGTTGGAAGGGACCTTCCAAGATAATCTAGACCAGTTCCCCTGCTGTGGGCAGGGACATTTTTCACTAGATCAGGTTGCTCAAATACGTTCAGAAATCCAGACAAAGTGGTCGTGCCCAGGCGGGTTCAAAGTTAGCAGCTCCTTTAGCCCGGTCCCGATCTGAGATACTTGGACGTGGACAGGGTGGTAGTAGTTTAGTGGGGAAATGTTGTGTCCCTTCTTCTTTCCTGGTATAAGCCAAGCTTATTCACTATACAATAAGGGCAATATTTACCAGCTCCTACTAAGTAATTAATAAATGTAGTTAGCAGCAGCATTTAGAATAGGATAGTTTTTATTAAAATCTTTTTTAAATTGGTGACATGAACTGTTGTTATTCCTGATCTGAGTCCATTTCTAGTCCACAAAAGTGTCTTACGTTGCACCCATAACTGCTGTGTTGTCTTAAGAGTCTCCTTTAAGGGTGTTTTGGCAGTGGCTTTTTAAACTTCAAACATGTAACCTGATAATCCTGTAGGTGCTATTTTTAATATTCAATTTTATTTTTAATATTTTAAATAGAGTAGATTCTTCTCTTTAAGATTTAGTGCTTTTCCTTATTCTTAAATTTGTCTGGTAGCATTAAAATATTTATTCAACTAGTTTGATTAGAAATGAGACGTGCTATCTGCAAACAATATTTGGCCCCATGAATCGTAGGGACTTGATCTTAATAAGATAATGTATGCATCTGTTGACTGCTGCAGTTAATAGTCTCAGTGCGAAAATGTGATCTCTTCAGTCTTTTGTAGTTAAAACTGCCTTGGATAAAAAAATTAGGTTCCTTATTTTGCTTTTATATCTCCCAGTCAAATTTTAGCACCAGAGTTCATATCTGTTGCTATTGGGGTATGGTTTCCCCTGTCTTCTGAAATGCTCATGGGTCAAAGCTGAATTGAGTTACATTAACTCCATGAGTATTTAAGCCAACTCCGTACGTTTTTGTGACATTAAGTGAGCAGTAGCAATGTTGTGGGTTGCTCTAGAGAAAATTGTTAACAGAAAGCCGAGAGTTGTTGCTCCTAACCTTTTCTGGCTAGGAAACTTGACCGATACAACATAACTGCTGTAATCGCCCATTTATACTCTTTAGGCAACTACTGTCTTGTAATGCTGTTTATTTGCAGAGGCCAGCAACTGTTGTAACACATTCTGAGGTCTGGGATTTATACCCCAAATACAAATTTGCTGCAAGCCCCCTTCAAGCCAGAGTTATCAGCGCCTGATAGATACTGCCAAGGCTCTGTGTTACTGCTGGAGTTTCTTGGTCAGTGGTTTGTAATGTCTCACGATAATGTGGAAGGAGCTAAAAAATGAAACTGATAAATAAGTGTTGGAACGGCAGCTGAGCCCTGCAGTTTAAGCGGCCAAAGTCAAAATTACAGTTTAATATTCTCGCCGAGCACAGTCCTGTGGGCAGTCGTATGCAAAATCTGAAACAGCTTAAGGAAAAGTTTAAAGTCACTGCAGTTTGCGGGTATTAGCCATGTCAACAGCACTAGCAAGGGTATGGAAAATGCTTGAGTTCTGGTTTTGGCAGGCAAAGAGAAACCGCATAAAAATATTTTATAGTAGTGTATTGTAGTGTAAGAATGAAGAGTCTGTGTTATATTAACGGCTACGTGCTCTTAAAATCTTTGTGTTTCTCTTCAGTTTGCTGTCTTCATTGGTTTTTCTTTGTCTGCACAACTGTCTGTTGCAGAACAAATTCGCCTCTGAAATTAGGACTGGGAGTCAAGATGCAACTGAGGAACTGACCCAGAAGAATTAGTAAAATTCTGCTTTGAAATTTGTTCTCTCGTCTTTTCTTTCGGTCTTTTTTCTTTTTTTTTTTAGTGTATTGTAGTGTAAGAATGAAGAGTCTGTGTTATATTAACGGCTACGTGCTCTTAAAAATCTTTGTGTTCTCTTCAGTTTGCTGTCTTCATTGGTTTTTCTTTGTCTGCACAACTGTCTGTTGCAGAACAAGCCTCTGAAATTAGGACTGGGAGTCAAGATGCAACTGAGGAACTGACCCACCCAAATTAGTAAAATTCTGCTTTGAAATTTGTTCTCTCGTCTTTTCTTTCGGTCTTTTTTCTTTTTTTTTTTCCCTCCCAAGGGAGAACAATAGGGCAGGGATTAGTAAGGAAAATGATGGACAATCCAGCCCCTTCCATCCTGACTACTTTGTTTTCCCAGTGGTTTGTAGTACCATCATCGTAACTGTGCCGTGTCTTTTGCTGATGTCCTTCAATGTCAGTTTTTAAGCTAAAAGGATGAGACAGCTGGGCCTGTTCTTCCTATTCATGCTCTTAGAGCTTCATGAGAGACTGACAGAAAAAGCAGCTTCAAGAATAGTGCAAAAGGCAGAGGTGTCCTACATCCAGATGTATTTTTGCAGTCTTAGCCAAGCATTGACTTTGCTAAAGAGCTCTCTGGGCTTGCCTTCTTGACTGGGTAAATCATGAAAAATTCACAACAAAGACCTAAACTGTAGAGTGGCATCCTTTCATGGAAACCATAGCCTTTGTGCATAATTACTTTTAAAAAAAAAAAAAGTCATAGTGCTATATGTCCTTCAAGCCTCCTAAAGGTATATGCTGTATGTTTTGTATCTTTCAGTGCATTTAATCCCGGTAAACCCCATCAGGGAAGATGGTTTGAGTCCTAAAAGCCGAAAGAGAATAATGCCCGATTTGCTGACTGAGCCTCCTGTGATAGATCCTGTTTATGAAGCTCATGTTTACTGCAATATTCCCACCATTGCTGAACGCAGCATGGAAGGTAAGCTTTGTGAATGGAAATGAGTTTAGTTGCTTGCTTCTACGTGCTGTTGTCGGAAACGATAACTTTGTGCATTGTCAGTTCTTTGGTGCTTGGAGAAGGTACAGCAAACGCCATCTGGTTGCTGAATTATGTTAAATCATTCAAAATACGCTGTTCTTCTTTCCTTCCCTTTGTATCCTCTCTGTTCTGATTTTTGGAAGTGATTCTGCTGGTCAGTGGTCAACTGGAGGCCTAAAATTGAAATTTGATACAGATATTTAATATTTGAATTGAATTATAATGCTTATTCTAAGTGAGCTGCGTTGCAAATTATATTATTAACGTCTGAAAAACAGTTGACTTGGAATTCTGGGAAGAAAAAACCAACCCAGAAGTAACTTGTGCTGGAACTCCAAACCATTAGATGTAGTCAGCTAGAAGACACATTTGTGTTCTTCACCCTATAGCGGCTGCAGCAGCAAGTTAGCCTGAATGAATTCCCTCATTAGCATATCCCATTAATGCATATAAAATAAATCACGAACAAGTATATCAAAAAGCTCCAAGTTGGGCGTGCTGCAAAATCTGTCATTATGGTGGGGGTCTGGAAGAGAGTCATCCTAACAGTAGAGTAGCCTTATCGTGTTGGCAGAGATCAGTGCTTGAATAATGTCTTGTATGGTTGTTGGACTTCAGATGTGCTGTGGAGAATGTGCTAAGGACCTGAGCCTTGTATAAGTTGTCTTGCAATTTTAAGTGAAGTCTTTCTTGGGACAGTAAGTTATCATTTCTTACGGAGGTTTTCTTTCATTGCAACACCAAAGCTATCAAGCCAGTTATACCTACTTTTTTTTCTTAAAGGAAAAAGTGTGCAGGGGGAAGATTTAGGTAACATTCACTTAACTTCTTACATTATTTTTTTCTCTCTTCCCCCCCTCCTTCACTTTAGGTCATGCACCTCATTATTTTAAGCTAGTGTCAGTGCAAGTGTTGATTCGACATGGCGATAGGTATCCGCTATATGCCATTCCCAAGACAAAGAGACCTGACATTGACTGTATGTTGCTGCCTAGCAGGTAAAATTCTTGGCTTTTATCATTACTAAGTGTGTTTTGCTTGATAATTATTTTGTTCCTCTTAAGGAAACGATTTGTGCAGCTTGAAGTACGTTGTGACTTCTGATGTTTGTGTATTGTGGTGGATTAAAAAAAAACAACCCTGTATCAGTGGTGTACAATATTTCCTTTGAAACAGGAACTATTACTTGCTACCAGTTTAGACCAGAAGAAATTATTGGTATTTCTGTAAAAAGCAAAAGCTATTTAATTGAATATTTAGGTTACCATTCCTCTTAGATAAGCTTCTACACATTTTCAAAATATAAGTGCAGTGTTTGAGAGTGTCTCTTCCATTTCAGCTAAGCGTGCTTCCTTTTGTGTGAATACGAAAAGGACTCAGTTGGTCGCTGCCATAGGAAAATTGATGTCTATATTTTATATTTTTTTATTTTTCAGAAATATAGGTTATCAGAGTTTCCTTAAACTAATGATTTGTATCAAAGTACTTTTAAGGAACAAAAAAGAAGAGGAGGGGGGTTTTTACATTTAACTATCAAAATACGAGTTAAACAGAAAGTGCACTGTTTGCTATTTGAAAACTACCCCTTTCCTGTAGTTACCACTCGCAGTTTAAAACTGTCACACCTAAGTGATTTATGCCCGACTGCCATTAAAACATCATTTACCTTTCTGTTTCAGTATAGTGTGCGTCTGTCTAACATCATGTCTTTGTAGCTTGCTGATGCTTGTCTTCATACCTGAACCAGTTTGAGCTGTGGATATAGTCTGAATTGCTTCTCTTCCTTGTGGAAGAACCTTTCTTTCTTGTGTAGTTTACTCATGGATAAAGATGAAGTGTAGTGTAGAAATAAACAGTCATGATGTAAATCACCAACCTTTGTCCCAGCTTGCTTGATTACGTATGTTTTTTTTCTCCTTTTAAGTAGGATCTGTGGTGGTATTTATTTTTTTTCCAACAGAGGACTTTCCAGTGAACCTACTGAATACTTTAGTTTTTCTTGGTATTTTTCTTTTAACTGTACCAGATGTGTTAGCAAAACCTCCAGGTGAATCTACAGCTTTGTAGTGCTGCCCACGCAGCAGTGTCAGGTGTGGAGATGTCAGTGAGTTGGGGGCTGCATCTGCTTTGCGTACCTGCATAACGTTACTCGGGAGAAGAGGCATGGTAGCTCTCCTGATCTACTGATATACAAAGCAGTGTAAATATACCATAAATGCCTTTTTCCAGAATAGCGTGGAATCTGCCTTCAAAGAGATGATGTTCTCGCTTTTCTGGTGTGGAGTTACTCAGAAGTGGCTTTACTCTGTCGTGCTGAAAGTGTTAACGGCGCAGTGAAACTGCATTTCTGACTTAGATACATCAAATGCGTGTTTCTTGTTTTGATAGATTCATGGGCTGTGTTCCTTAAAATTTTAGTAGCTTCCCATCATCATCAGCGTTTATGATTTTATCTTTTATATCTGAAATACTCTGTCCTTTCAGCTTTTCCTCAGTGGGCTTTTAACAAAAGAATCTCTCTGAAAGAGCAGATGGATTATGGGACACACTTAGGTTTGCGATTAGCAGTTCCATTTAGAAAAGCGAACCAATTTTCATACCTGGTCCTGAGTCAATTTCTGGCTCAAGTATATTAAAAACCAAACGCAGTAGCAATATTGCACAGTAGGAATGTTGCTAAAATAGGCTGAAGTGCTGTGAAGGAATACCTGAAACTAATTATTAAGTACAGCTTCATCTCATACTTGTAAAGGTGATGGGAAGCTTGATTAAAGAGGCTTGCTAACTAGATACATACGGTAGCGGACACAAAGGCTGGCAGAAAACGATCAGCAAATTGGATCTTTCTCTGAAGAAGGCTGAAATATGTTGCTTTTCTTTTCGGATATCTGGCTGCATGAAGGAAGTTGCCCTGTTACTAGTAGATGTCCTGAAATTTGCAAGGCTTGTAATGCTGTCTTCAGTTTTAGTCGGTGTTGTAACGCTATTCTGGCATGAGTAATTGAAAAGTAACCGTTATTGCTGAATCAAGGTACTGTCATGGTGGTTGGGGTAACCCCACGAAAGTTTGAAACCACCATCAGTTTTAGCCCATCTGTGTGCCTACCTGTTCGTAGGAAACAGACTTAGGAGCTCCTAAGTTATGTTCAGGCTACCCTATCTATCTGCCTACGTTTTGTATGAAGATCTAAACAGAGGAAAATTTACATCTTTTTTCCTCTAAAGAGGAGAAAAATACAATATTCCACATATATACACTTTTGTCTGCAATACATACAAGCATACATAGAAAAAAAAAGTATGTATACCTTTTTAAGAGTAAAATGGGAAGCAAAATAGACACTGCTTTTTATAGCTAACATGGCATTGGAATTTAGAAGATTCAAATAGCTTCTAATTTCACTGGTTTTAGAGTGTATATATGTACTTACATCTTTCTTAGCTGCTCGGTACAGGTATCAAAATCAGAAATGGAGCAAAACCACATCCTCCTTTTTTGAAAGGAGACTGCTCTTTTGGAATGCCTGTCTATGAATACATCCCAAAATACCTGATTTTCTGACTATACTGAACGAGCTTTATAAGTGATAGTGGTCTGGGACCTTTGACACAGCGCAATTTTAAAAAAAACGAGCAAACTAAAAAACTTTGCTATCATGTTGGCTCCTTCTTGTCTTTATTCATGCTTCAATTTACACCAAAGTGCTTGTTTTGTCCAGAAGTGGCGTTCAGTGGTCTGATCTAACATCCTCCAAGAGAAGTTTGAGTTCTTTGAGGGGTGCCCAGCCCCAACAGTGTTCCGTGCCCGCTGCAAGCCGACCGGCTTTCTGAAATGGGATATGCAGCCCTGAGATGGCAGACAGGAGCCCAAACTCCAGATACCTCTGCCTTAGAGTTGAGTGGGCAATTAATTTCTCTAACAAGATGAAAAATGAATCATTTGCTAATAGCTATGATAACATTTTTAATGACCTGCCTTTAAGGGGTGAGATTATTTTCAGCATGAAATGCTAATTAAAGAAATATGATCCAGATTCTTTTTGGAGTTCTTGAAGGCTCTGATCTTCTGATCTTGCTCAATATCTGTCACATTAGAATGTGTGTGAGAAAACTTTATGCAAAAATGTTAACTGCAAGTGACAAAGCTGGACGAGTGGCTGCATTTCTCAGTATTACAGTGCCACGTGAGAGCTTAGTTTTGTATTTGTCAGAGAAGCTTTTTATAGCTATTTCCACTTCGGTTTCAGGCAAGGGATAGAACGTGAAGGCCCCTGGAGTCAGGAAAACTAGCCATAAAAGGCAAGCAAGTAGTGCAGCTTTTGCCACTGCCAACAGAATGACCGAGTCAAGCAGTGAAGGGAGCGGCGTCAGGGCGCGAGGCGGCCAGCAGCGCAGACAGCCTCCGCTGCTACTGGCCGATGAAGACTTTGACATACCATTCACAGCCACTAAAAATGAGCGGAGAACCAAAAAGACCTTGTTTCCTTGAGCACAAAGTTTGTGTAAAATAGAATCTCCTGGCCAACTTTGAAAGGGCGGCAGGAAGATTAAAGGAGGTGGCTCTGTACCGTTCTGTCCAGATGTGTTAAGGCTGACCTTTCTGGCTAGAATTGTTAGTGTTTCTGCCATTGTTTTGGATGGAACATTTATTACTTTAACATCAGGAAGCTATTTGCCACGTTTGGCTGTCAGGCTTATATTCCTTTGTGATGTAAATTTGGTGCTTGATTGTAAACGTATTTATACTGAGAGTATTACAAGGTGTATAATTGCTGACTTTGAACTGAAGGTTTCTTGATGCTGTGTAATTAAGTTGAGATGTCTGATTGAAAGTCTGGCTTGTTTAAGCTTTCTGGACTTTAGTTCCAGATAAGTATGCTGCTCATATTCAGTCTGTTCTTTATTTGACTTGGCATTCAGCTGATGGAATTCATTAATTAAGCAGATTATGCCACAGCCCCATGGACTTCTAATGGGTATGCAAAATAGCCTTGAGGTCACGCTTCGGTTTTGTGAATTATGGTTTGTGACATATAAGTGTGGAATGAATATAAGCAAATGGATTAAATGCTTTGAAGATTTCTTCCATCGAAACCCTCAATTGATAGTAGTGGTATTATTATTTTCATTGTTCTGGATGCAAATTTCCAAAGGGAACTTGGAATATAAATACTTTCTTCCTCAAGAAAATTAATTGAACGATGTTATGAAAATCCTTTCATCGTAGTGTTCGCTTATGGGGGGGGAATAAATTAATCTCCCACTTCTTTTTCCCCTTTGTATCTTACATTTATAGTGCCACAAGTAAAAAAATATGCAATGTTTCTTCATTGAGTTTGTGTGCAAGATAGAGAAGAAGTGCTTTTTGGAAGATGCTAAAATGATTTCAGAAGACTGCTATAATTTGATAGTGCGCTGGGTTAATTAGCATATGCTTTAAGGCATTTTGAGAGGTGTTGATGTTAATCATAAGAAGCTTAGTAACAAATATCTGACTTTTAGGTTCAATATACACGTCTTGAAACTGCCAGAAAAATGAGAGAGAAAAATGTGGCAAGTATCATACTGTGAGCTAAAGGAGGTGTGGATTTGACTTGGAGCGAGGTCAAAGCATGATCCAGACCAGAATTAGGGGAAGAAAGGTCTCCTGAGGCCTCTTCTGACTTCTCTAAAGACTCAGAAGAGCAGTGAAGTAGACTGGATCTCTACAGAGTTTGTATATAAAAATGTAAAAGCTGTAAGACCTTTATGAATAAATAAGCCCCAACAGTACTAACGCTGTCTTAAGGGCCTCTTTTGTAGACTGCCGTAATCTGTTGTTGGTTTTAGTGGCTCTTTCCATTCATTTGCCTTTTAAAAAGGAAACAGCTTGGTCCTTTGATCTAACGCTTTTTTTGACTACTTGAACTTCACCGAAAACACATTATTTTTGCCTGAAATTATAAAATCTTTTTTTTTTGCATTTTAAGTAAAGAGAAAAGGGACTTGCTTTTGGTAC